GAAGAGTTCTGGCCGGCACGCCTGGTGGATGGATAAAGCCGGGTACGGTATTCATCATAAAGGCCGACCGACAATGGCACCGGCACGACGCGCCCGATCAAAGGGAGTTCGAGCCCGTCGCTCCCGACTCGCAGCGGCGCGCTCTGCGTGATTATTTCTCGACGGCCTTTGTCGATGGGTGCCGCGAACGGCCTGAGATGAGCTGAGAAACGGTTTTTCCTCTCGCCGACGGCGGACCATTATCGTTGAAAGTGAAATGGAGATAAGGATCAGTGAAACTTTTGTGCGAAATGGCGACAGCTAATGTGAGTTTTATGCCGATGCGCAGCTTTCTGGCAACCGGCGAGTAACTTGATCTTTAAGTTAGGTTGGTAGTTAATCCGATGGTGCTGCTGCATGTCAGAAAATGTCATGCTTGAGGTGTTTCCCACAGAATCCATTACTCCAGGGCCCGGACAAATGACACAGTAAATGCCATCACAATCGGATTTCCAGCCTGCGCTCAGTACAGAATCCATTTGTAATGCACGTCTACTTACAGAAGTAAGTACCTGCCGAAAATGGTTATTCTCTTTCGTGATGCAATCGACGCAAAGGCATGTCATGAAATATGCAGGCGATGTATGCAAGATTGCATAGTAGCCCTGGAGGAAGGTAACTTTTACTGGACTTTTACTGGCCTGTGTGAGCTCCCTCATTTCATGAAGTAAGCGTCCACGTGAGATATTTCGTATGCAATGCTTTAGAAAGATCACACGTCCTGTTATCACTTAATTAGTCAGCAATGCACAACTCCGGGCTTTCGCACGAACTCCTGCGCCTTCTGACATCTCTGTCGGCCTGTATTTTGGTGCCGACCGAGCGGCGTCATTGACGCGAGGTGTCACGGTCGGATGGTCTGTGCCACGTCAGCTAGTCGCCGCCCCTGCTCTGTTACGTCGACTGTCACCCCTCGTATGAGCCTGCCGACATCGCCGGCTCTGTTCAGCTTTGTCAGTTTACGCCGATAGGGGAGCTGGGAGGTCTCCTGAAAAGCCTCGGGGGCGGCACGAGCGTCCTGGCTGAGGTGGTCGGCCCAGGCCAATGGGCGGGGAAGAGAGAGAGAGAGAGAGAGAGAGAGAGAGAGAGAGAGAGGGAGAGGGAGAGGGAGAGGGAGAGGGAGAGGGAGAGGGAGAGGGAGAGGGAGAGGGAGAGGGAGAGGGAGAGGGAGAGGGAGAGGGAGAGAGAGAGAGGGAGAGAGAGAGAGGGGGAGAGAGAGGGAGAGAGAGAAGAGGGAGAGAGAGAGAGAGAGGGAGAGAGAGAGAGAGAGAGAGAGAGAGAGGAGAGAGAGAGAGAGAGAGAGAGAGAGAGAGAGAGAGAGAGAGAGAGAGAGAGAGAGAGAGAGAGAGAGAGAGAGATGGGAGGGGAGTTGGAGTGATGACGTCAGAGTGCGATGACAGGCACCAGACAGAGTGACAGTCGGTCGTATTTGTGTGACATGCCGGTGATGACAGGCTCTGAACGAGAATAGTTCGCTGAGCGCGAACGGCGCTCGACCGGGTGGTAAATTAGGCGAAATGTTAGCGCTTTGGTGTCAAGGAGCCAAGGGAATTGAACGATGGACGGATCACGATGGATAGGAGAAGTACAACGCTAGATATATTGAAAAAAAATGATGAAGAACTTGAAACAAAGGCAGAACACAGCAGATATAATCAATGCAACAATGAATAGATGATGAATTATTTGCCTGTTGCAAATATTTCTCCTCTCTCGACTGCTTCACAACCACATCGGCTTTCAACATTTCATCTAGGCAACAGGCCCGACGTCCGCAACCTTTTCAAGAGAACATGCGTTTGTATAGAATTTCCTTTGGAACTCAGTCGACCACAGCCTCACTTCTTTCGCAAATTGTCTTCAATGAGACTTTGAGGCAAAGGGCCTCCGCGACACAAGCTGGAGCCAACTTTGGAAATTGCGTGTTCTCCCCAGCCAAACCGTAGCAACACGACCACTTGGCCTTCCGCGGTATTGAAAACGGACAAAAACTTGTCCACACTGCGGCAGGCTCTACGCTGCTGTCCGTTCATCCAAAGTCGATCGACTTGCCTGTGTTGGGATCGTAACGACTGTTCTCGTCCGTCTAGAAAGAAGTCAGCAAGTCGATTTATATGGTTATTCATTCCCTGGATAACCAATTTTTTCAGAATCTATATTTTGTATCATGTTAATTCCCTATAAGAAAATACAGTGACTTGGTAGGTACAACGTTTTCGAACAATTAAGTCGAATCTAGTGAGCTGGCAAAATCTCATTTACCAATTTCATTTACCTATCGATTTTAACCTTCGCCCCAGTGGGGGGGGGGGGCATATGTTACCACCCTGTCGCGTTTTTTGCGTGTAAATAAAAAACCGCGGCGCGTAGCGCCGCGCCGCTTGGGGTAGCTTTTGGTACATCAATTTTGGACAATGTGTGGAATTTTTGACCCCAGGTCATGTCAGGTCAGGTCACCAGGTCAAGTTAACTGACCAAGCCTAAAAAAGTTTGCGATCATGTCCAGCCTGCAGTGTTTGTCAGAAAGGTTTCAAACTTGGTGGATTGCATGATGTTATAGACGCCTACAATTTTTATATCTCTGATTTTTTATATCTGTGACCTAAGGTCAGGTCAGTGTCGTGACCTTACCATTATAAGGCAATGGAGAAAAATGAAAATGTCTCTAGATCCGTGTGTACGCATAGGAACAGTCCAAATATTTCAGAATCACAATGATTTGGACCACCCGTGATGACCAAGGTGTCATTTTTGCTGATAGCCTCTAGAAAGGTCATCCGAGGTCATTTGAGGCTACAAACAGATTTTTGCCAATAACTCTCGATTGGAAAGAGATAGAACGCTGGGGATGGCTTCATTGTGTTTGTCTTGCCGAGACGCATCGACTGATATGCAACATGACCTTTTCCGGTCAGGTCATGACCTTGACCTGAGGTCAAATTTTTAAGTTGACCTTTCAAGGTCAAATTATAGTTCATTCGACGCGTCTCGGCGAGAGGAACACGATTCTGGCAATAGAAAGGTCGTGGCTTTTTTTAGTCTAAAGTTATTGTCGAAAAACACTTTTCGTAAAAACAGCTATTTTTGGAGTTTTTGCCCTCTGGAGGCTAAACCGTTGACCTGAGGTCAATTTTGATGATGACCTTTTTATAAGAAGAGTTTAAAAGCTAACGATTGCTTTGCCATTCGTTTTTCTAGCTATCATAGTTCCTGAGATAAATGCATGTTTTCTGAGAAATATAATGACATTTGGCAAAATTTGACCTTTGATGACCTCCAGTGACCCCAATATTGTTCTAAAATGAGAATGACCGAGTACTTTCAAACGTACGCATTGAGAGCTATCGACTGCTTTTTACCGCGTCTTCCTAGCCCTCTTAGTTTTTGAGTTAGAGGTGGGTGGTAACATATGCCCCCCCCCCCCCCCACTAGGGCGAAGTTGGCTGAGACCGCCACTGGGGCGCGGGTTAATCATAAGTTCACGTATGAAACGATGTTCATAATCCCGGTTACAAAATTGTGCTACTTAAACTTAGCTGTGTACACCATTTTATTTGCATGCCTAGCTTTAGGGAGCCGTTTCCCCAAAAGTCAGCAAAGTTTGACTGCGTCCGTGTTAGGAATCGGGTAGTGTTTGACCTATTACCAGTAGTCCGTTGAAGGAATGGCGGTGTCGCGTAGGTTCCAAGCCTGTAAAGGGACTTGTTACATTCCAGCCCACGTCGTCCATGGCAGCGCACGGTTCGTGAAAATCAGCGCGGCCACGATAGCCGACTGGAAGGGGTCACAGGGGACATTTGTGTGAAATTTTAACCACGTCAGACCTGGTCATGTCCATCGGACTGGCAGTCCGAGGCGAGACTCAGTCTACGATCGCTTGGAAAGCGACAATTCCGGGCCTGCAACGTGAATGCAGTAATCCATATAAAGTAATTACCTATCGGCTCATGGATAGAGGTATTGCAGGTTGCATGCGAAATTCCAAGAAGCTAGTACCTAATTGTTGGAATTCCGGTGGATTAAGTCTAGGCTCGCCCAGACCATCTGTTAAGGCCGCTGATGGGCTATTCGGATGCGCGGGAGCTTTACTGTTGGCGCCACCTGGTCGGCCGAATTAGCATTTAGACAGGCAGAGTGGCGCTCGCCTGTCGACAATGACGGCGCAGCGACGGCGCCGCGCGTCTCCCACCGACCACCTCTGCAGCCGCAGACTAGATGACCTGTCAGGCACAGAATGGGTTCAGGCCAGCAACAAAACAGCCTGTTTTGTTCAACGTTGATGATGTCGCTTGCTTAAGCCTGAAACAGACTCTTTCCGCAGTCAGGAAATCGCATGCGGAACCTATTCGAATACATGGAAGCACGCTCGCATCAATCGCGCGCACCTCCCGCGCAAGCGATTGATGCGAGAAGAATTGCATTGTATTTGGATAGGCTCTCGCATGCGATTTCCTGAACGCGGAAAGAGTCTGTTTGAGACTTTATGCGTGTATGGCATGAATCCTGTAATTTGAATCTGTTGTCGCCCTTAGCGTTCACGCGACACTTACGTTATTGCTGGAATGGGTACACATTTGTTTGGATTGAGATCAGAGTACAAATTATGGGAGTGGGTACAGCGAGAATCGAAACATATCTGAAACGTTCGTCGGCGTAGCCTGCATTTGGCGTACCTATCGGCTCCCGTGGCTCATAATGTTTCTATAAAAAAGAAAAATAGTTTGAATAGGAGCAGCAACTGAAAAGTTGATTGATTTTGTTACAAGTTAGCCCACCAACTGCATCAAATGTTTTTAGATGGCTCCTTTCACTAAAATTGTACTACTTACGCGCTCCCTTATCAATGTCGTCAACTCTCAGGCGACTGAGTTACCGGCATTGTCGTTGAAAACTCTGAAACTACCTCTGCCACCGTATAGTGATAGTTGTGTGTCTGCTGATGACGGCCTGTTCTGTTCCAGAGAGTCACCTGTATGGATCGGCACAAAGTTTGGCCGCGCCCGACACCGGTAAGTTTTCTGCAGCTCATTGAAATTGTTTGAGCAATGCACGTAATAACTCAATAACTCAATAACTCCTGACCTAAGATGACCTGAGAGTTGAGACTTGAAATTTTGTGTGAAGGTGTCAAATTGATGTCCGGGATGATGCTGAAAATTTGGCGGCAACAGAGCGCGTTAAAATGAGAACGTCGTTAAGCAAGATTACCCAAAACCATGAAAAGATTGTCATTAATGTGAACTCTTTTTGCATTGATTTAGATACTTCCGTATAATTCGCCTAATATGCACATTCATTCTTCGGCGATTGCATCGCTCGTAGATAATGCATGCTTGCTGCTATAGGTAGCAATCCGGAAAACAGCTACTTACTTACCAGAAGACTTGCAATGCCCCGTGCCACAACTTGTTATATTCTATCACATACGTCCTCTCGAGTATTGCACCAAATGCCTCAACTCCAATTAAATGTCTTGTCACACTGAGGTCATATAGGTCTTCATGTTGCTAACACCTACCTCTCCCAAGAGTGACCTTTTGCTGAAAAGGCTAACACAATTTGCCATTGAGTGCATCCGGTTGAGAGAGCCCGTCCTTGGTTTCAGACTCCAACTGCTCAAGGAAAGGTCGGACGACGTGGTCCATCCTCAAACTGGTGAGTAGCTACTCCAGCGGCGTCCTGCAGTGCCGACTGCATCCGCATGGTGACACTCGGTGTGACATTACGCATAGGTAGACGTGTTTGTTAGTGGAGAGGGTTGAGAAGGTGGGCCTTCTTGATGTATTATCTTTAAAAGGTGATTATATATACTAACTTTTGCTTTTATTAAAATTCACCCGTGTGCACTCTGCATACTATTTGTGTTTAAAGCTGGGGGGGGGGGGGAGGTGCCTGAAGGGCCTTAGCCGTTCTGCTTCTTATTGGGCATGAATTTCATGAAAACAAAGACCAGATGTTCGATCTGATTACGCGACAGTGTCGATTATACCCGAGTTATAAGCTGGCTGGACTATGATATGACATAATTTTAGGTCATTTATAACGACTTACGAGAATCCTTAAAGATGCCTTTTTGTTGCGACTGAAGAAGATTTTTCATTGGATTGTCACATTATGTCCAATTTCTCCATGATATCATGTATTCATCGGGGTGGTTCTCAGTATTTTTGGCTGAACTGCATATATTACTGCTATTTGCACAACAACTGTCGTACTTTATTAACCAGTTGTAATGCAAAATGCCCCATGCTTTTATGAAAGATATAAGCCACACCGAATCACAATTATTGATGCATGCAGATATCAACTTTAATATTTGTAACATACCACGTTTAAGCAATCTATTTCAAGAACGCTATCAATATTCAACTCGCTTGAATCACTAGATCAGTAAATAAATCGTCAATTCTTTCTGTGACATTCCCCACGATCGCTGGTAGATAACTTTAAGTTAAAACCCAGTCCCTTCACGAACTATAATTGCTTATTCGTCGAAAGGCCCCCGGTGTTTCCATGAAACTTTTACGGAGCTCATGCACTGAACTAAATCCCATCATTGGATCCAGGATTTGTGCTGAACTATTGGTGAGAGTTAACATGGGAGGACCCGTTTTGCCACAGCAAGAACGCGTGACTCCACAATTATGGAGCCATTTGCTAGGACCACATGGCCACCACTGGGCTCATATATCGAACCCGCACCAGTGTCAGGCTATTGTCGCGCCGTTATCCAATACTAAAAGCTTTCAGCTGGATTTTAGACCCCGTTGGCAGCAGTACCTTTAATCAGTCAGCAATGACAATTCAGCTTGCGAAAGCTTAGGCCTTGGAAAATCGTTATGGTATTGCTATGAACGAACTTAGAGAAAAGTAAAGCTTGAAGGTAACAGTGAGTGAAAGTCTTTACGTTGAACATCGCACACGAATTATAACAGAAAACCTCATATTTAACAGTGCTGCCTTTGCTACATTTTTTAGGACCAATTATTCGACAGTTGATTATCCTTTTATTCCACAAATGATCAGCGGAGTTTCAAGTAGGTATGGCATGTATAGGTTTACTATATTTTATCAATAACCGTTCAAGAAGTCCAAATATTTACCATTCCAAGGGCGCAATACGGTCCAATCATAGACAGAGGTCCATGGTCCATTTTTTTATCTTACCGCATTGCGATGGCGGCAGCGTCCGGAGCTCTCTGGCAGCGTCTCATGGGTGGCTTATCGTCATACCGCTGCCGAAAGGTCAGCGGAACACGGGCCCCGCTAATGGGGCGGCTGGCGCGCGGGCATCCAGACACAGCGCGGCCCGGACGCGCACCGGAAGGACACCAGTTCCGTCTCCCCCCCCCCCCCCCCCCCCCACCGGAACGGCTGGTCAATCTCGACACAGTCGACAGCCGCCCCCCGGGGCGACCCAAATGGCACTGGCGCCAGCCATCTGAGCCGTAAAGTGTCTTGGAGCTTATGCTGCCTTAGCGATAGCTCTCAGTGATATTGGAATACGCTGGTGGGCTTTACTCATGCCATTCCTTTTCATCGGCACGTACAATGGGCACCCAAACGCTTTACTCAATACGCGCCAAGCTTCACAGTTGAAACATTTTCGTATGTTATGATATTTAAATACAAGGATTACCTACATACCTACCCTTATTCCACCTTCACGCAAATCGCACTGTTCTCAAGCTCCAACATCCATTCACCACACAATATTGTCTCCTCTGGCTGTCACTTCTCCCTCTCTTCTTCCTCTCTTTCTAGCTCTGACCTCTGCCAGCCTCCATAAAGCCCTGCCGCCTCAGCTGCTCCGCGACCGCAGCGGCTGAGCCGACAGGAGGGCGACAAAAACTGATGGAGCGAGCGGTGATCGTTGCTCGCAGTCACTCGCCGTCTCGTTTCCACTCGCGACGCTATCAATCCACTGCCCCCTGCTCCCCCCCCCCTCCTGCGGCATTGAGAAAGATCGATGGAAGAACGCACACGGCAGACTGCCACGCAGGCCAGTGAAAATTAACGCCTGGTGCTAATCGCGCAGAGAGGCGATTCGATGGCTGCATGCGCAGCGCCTTCATTTGAATCCCGACTTCCATACTTGCCTAACGTTCTTGATTAAGTTTCGTTTGAGTGACATCTTCAATTTTCGGGTTCATGGCAGTTGCTGATAGTGTCAGAGTGGAAATTGGCAGATAAGGACTTTGGAAACAAAGTTAATTGCCACTCAACCTCAATTCCTAAGTAAAATTGTTTAGTAATTTTGCATAAATTTAGCAGTTGATGCTGACTGGCTTGAGTGCTTGACTCATACGCTCTAGTAAAGGCGCAACACATTTAGAAATATACCAAGAGTGACAAATTATCATTGACCTGAAATTTGAAATTTTTCGCTCAATCGGTGTACCTAAGGCGTTTGCCTTTTTTAAGGTAGATCCCTTGACGTGACATAATGACCTGACCTTGAATAGACTATGTTTAATTTTTACACAATTTTCAGAAAAAAGGGATCATTGAGTAATGAGTATGCAAAAACCTTAATGGGGGGGGGGGGGGGTTAAAACGTCCCCACCGCCCCTGCGTGGGTTAATCAGCATCATATATTCATGCTCTTTCCTGAACTCCGTGCGCGTCCTTGCGCGTCCTCATGCGCCCCCATGAAAGGTCATCACCACTGGGACCGAGCCCACACCCTCCCGTACTCGTCACTGGCGCGGGTCGACCTGCAGTCGAGCCCGTTTGACGGCAACGACACCGCCGGCGCCGATATGTTATGGGTGTCGACGCCAGATTGGATGACACGGGCTCGATCGTCGCCCTCGACGATGTCGACCTGAATTGAGCGATGAGGGTCTGACGGCACTGCTATTCGGCGATGTCCGCAATCCAGTTTGGTGCGATGTAGTTGGAATGGGCAGGTGACGGCCTTGGAATAGCCATCGGTCAATGTCGCATGGATACGATGAAACAGAAGTGTGTATTGCTACTGGGAACTATATATTCATTTGTGAATCAATCATCTAAATGAAAGTGGATCGATGGGGGCAGGGGCACTATGTAGAATGTAGATGATAGTGGTGTCAATTTCAGAAAACGTATGTCCAATGTCCGCCCAATGTCCAATACTTACGTCGACTGTCCGTCCAAAAATGTCCAAGCCAGCCATTTGTCCAAAGATGTCCAACACCTACTCAATAGTTTACACTCAGCACTGCTAGTTAATTTGCTTTTAGTGTACCATTACCAGCTGAAAAGTGTTAATCTTATCGAAAGTTGAGCTTTCTAATAGCCAATCAATGTTAAACATGATTACTTTATTAAAATGTTGAGGTGTAGCAAGCGATTGTCCAAAGTTGTCCAAAGGCTGCTGTCATTGTCCAACCGAATTCCGAATTGGACATTGGACAAAATCGGAATTCCGAAGATTCAAGTTCCGATTGACACCACTAGTAGATGACTGACATTCATCGGCCAAATTTATCATAACCACCTTTTTCAAGTAGCTTGTCTTTCGGCTAATCACAAAGTAAATCTATACATCCTCCCCCTCTTCCATCTTTGCCAACGTTAATTAATCAAGTCGGCATATGGCAATCATGAACCACTGTTCAATAACAAGTAGATACAAATATACGAGCGGTCAAGTTCCATAACTACAGGCAGCAGTTTGCGGGGTAACCCACCCCTCTCCCGAGGCAGTTGCAACCCGGGCAATCACGGCAAATGGACGTTTGCCGGGAGTGATGCGGGCGACGGCCTTGGTCAGAGTGTGGTGACTGGTTAGCTTGAGTGCCAATCGCATGAGCCCGCCTGAGTGGTGGCTGCTGAGCCATACCCTGAGCAGTTTGGACAACCAAACTGCAGCGATTGGTAGAGATGGTTGTGGTAAGCTATTGCTTTGGCCAGTTTATATGGCAGCATTAACAGTGGACAATGGGTTGAGTGGGTCTGTCAAGTGTATTAAAGCTACTGCCCATGTCTTGCTATAAGTACGAGTAGTCTACGAAGTGTAAATGGCCTCAACCAAATCTCCGAAGTTGATTTTCCCATGCAAGGCTATGCAATGGCATAAACATGCTTATCGACTAAATAATAAAATACTCGTAAAAGAAACACTAGAAAGGCCAAGGAAGTGAACGAATTAATCAACCAATGACTAATAAAGGTTGCTGTATACCATGGCGACGTCCAGGATTTCAACTCGAGTGTTTGCAGTGCTGGAAGTTCAGCGCAAAGTTGGTTTCATTTTGAGTGCCACTAGCCTGTCCGCATAACATGCTAGTGCACTCAAAGCTCAGTTTCAATTTCTATGCAAATTTGAAACTCGGTCACGTCCTTCCTCAAGCTTTGATAGTAAGACGCTGTCAGCGTACCGGCATCTTACGAGTTTCGGCTTTGAGCTGGGTGTTACCGGTTGCATTGACAGGATGAAAGCTTCATTGAAGAGTTTGTTCTAATTTTCGTTTTACCAACCACGATTATTGCCATCAGTACCAGCGTCCTGTCTCGATAAATATGTTCCCCATTGTAGATTGGTGCTTGTATATCCTGGTACAAATGCATCAATTTCGAACCCACCTATCTTAATTGTATAAAACTGTTGACACCGCAATGCCTTAAAAAATTTCCCCTAAAACATCTTACCCCTCTGACCGGCGCCCCGCCCCTCTGTACCCCAGTTTGACCGGTCAGGTCGGTCTCTCAAGTCGGAGTCGCTGTCGGGCATCGAGCAGGTGCTGATGGAGATCCGGCCGTCGGAGTTCCGGGACGAGCAGCTGCACCGCTACAAGGGCCTGCCGTGGGCCGACTTTGTCTACCACGTGGAGGCGGGCACGGTGCCCCCGGTGGTACCCACGCCGACGTCCTCCTCAGGCGCGGCGCCAGCCGCCGCCGACAGCCTCTCCCGCCTGGAGAGGAGCGAGTCGGCAGAGAGTCCCTGCGAGCTCCCGGCCCGGGTCCGCCGGCCGCGACCACCCAGCACACTGACCCGCACCCTCAGCGAGCGCAGTCTGACCGAGCGACGCGGTCTGTTTCGCCGGAGGCTGGTGTGGACCAGCTTCGACCGGTCGCCGACGGCCACACCGCCCGTCTCGGCCGTGGCTAGTCCCGAGAGCCCGGCGCGGCGCGCAGCCACGGCCGGAGACAGTCCACCCACCGAGAGACGCTGCCACGAGGCCGTCTGGGACCTGTTCCAGTCCGAGTATGCATTCCTCTATGATCATCTGATGGTGCTGAAAAACGTGAGTAGTTAGTCACTCTCAGCAAAGGGAGGGTGGGGGATAGGGGTGATAGGAAAAGCGTACTTTTGGAGGTTGGCATGTGGACATCGATGGATACCCTTTATATGTTTCTTTTATAAGGCTCGATTTGCTAAACATCTAGGGAGCATTAGTAGTTAGGTTTGGATTTTGTAAAACTAGCGTTGCATAGAGCTCATCACCGTATAGTTACGTCGAACTCAGTCTCACTAGTCACTATATGCCGTCCCATTCAACTGTTAAACGGCATTCATTCCGTACGACATGATAAGTTTTCCAGCTTCTCATATTTCCGTCTCTCCCGTCCGTCAGGTTTACATGGAGCCGCTGAAGCAGGTGCAAGTCGAGGGGTACCTGATGGTGGCAGAGCCAGAGCTGCTCTTCGGAAACCTCGACGAGCTGTGCTGTGTGAGTACAATGCCTTTTAACTCAAGAGTTTGTCAGTACCATTTGTGTTATAAGTGCGTGCTGCTCCCACCCACAAAGTCAGCCTTTGAACGTGGATGGTTTCTTGAGACTGCTTTCATGTATTTAAGTCGCCAACATTAAAAGGCAGCGGCCTGTTGCTTCAACTATCGATAAAAAAGACTGGAAGCAATGATAACTTTTTTGTCCTCAGAAGCAGCCCATCATCAGTTTTGATCGCACCTCCCTTTACCGGGTTCACAGTGCGGCGTTGGGCCCAGATAACCGGGAAGGGCACTTGCATTTTTCGATAGAAAAAGCGGCTGGATGGCCTGTCTTATCGGGGTACTTCGGAGCTAAAAGAATGGGAAATAGCTTTTGCGATGCTCCAGCCCGGGGTCGCGAATTAACCATTTATCACCTCATCTATTCCATGACCTTGAAATGGCCCTGCATTTCGCAAAGGCCTAGCCCATGAGAAGCTAGTGAAACAAATGAGAACATACTCGCACGCTTGGTTGGAAGCAAATCATGGGTATGAAGTGGAAGACCGGTTTCATTGACATCACCAATCAAATTTCCCAATCGCGTGGCGATAAGTCGGAAATGACGTCTTCGCGTAATTACATGTTTTCCAGCCAGCGCGCACAACACCATGACCTGACTGATCCGGGCTGATCCAGCGGCTAGCCGCGCCGTCAGCAATCTGCGGTAGTTACCGCTGGTGCGCACGATGCTCGCGTCTCCGCTGGGAAGCGCTGCCAGTCAATAATGACCGATTAACATGCACGACATCCGGCACCTATCGATAACGCCTGTGATATTGCAGCGGAACAGAAAACAGTGCCACTACGCACAGATGTGTGTGACGCTCCGTGCAGTTTCTACCAGTGCCTGGCGGATCCAATTTGCGCACCGTCGCAGATGAGGTCTCTATCGACGAAAAGTGCGGTTATTTTTTACCGCTCTGGCTTCGGTTGTCATAGCAACCTGATGCGATTGCCGATTTGTTCGCCTGAGTTGAGACTCAACGGTGATTCTATTGTCGCTCTGCGGAAGATTGGAAGAAGTGTTGGGCGGGCGAAGCCACTCAGCCGAGAACTGTGGACTGGAACGATTCATGTTGTTGATAGCATGATTGGATGGCTTGTCACTTTGTGGTGGGTATAAAACGAGGATGGAGACTGCTCTTTGTTGTCAAGAGGGCAAGCGTTAACGTTGCCCTGTGTAAAGTGTTTGACATCTTAAAATGTCAGTAAAAGTGCGCCTGGATACTGGGGCGTTTAAAGCGTCAAGCTTGTAAGATAACTGATTGTTTGTTACTTTTAGTACCTACACCAGTGCCTTTTTGCTATCTTTCTTCTATGGTTCAACCCGAGATCAACAATTCTCATTCTCCGTTTGATGTTGTGCAAAACTGTTAGGTGCAAAACAAGTAAGGCTATCTGGATGTGATCTCTTTTCTTTTCTATGATTTCTATGATTTTCTATCGATGTCCTTTTCAACATCAAAACGTATGGAAAACGCTGATCAATCGCTATGAAACCTACATATTCGGAAAGAGCATTCTTTTCCAATCTGAGCATCTGGGCTCAGATTGAAGCTTTAATTGATTTCGTTAATCGCCTTATCAGATGATTTGACTGCTCGCATTCAATGCCCATCTAAAAGGTGAGAGCCTCGAAACTGATCAGCTACAACAAAGGTCTACGAACTAAAATTTTAAAAAATGTGAATCGGCTTACAGATTTTTCATGTCTAGCCGAGTCTGATCAAAACAAAGAAATGCATTAAGTAATTTTATCAAGAAAGATATTAGTATTTCAAAAAGTCTTTAAACTCAGGGGAAAAATCCGCTAATTGTATTTTTAAGTTTCATTAACGTCAAGGGTTAGAAACTTTAACTCGTGAGGAATAAAGTTTTGCAGAAACTTACGCTAAATGATCAGAAATTTGTGGCAACCCGTATTCATTACTCATTCACAGTTCACAGTAATTAAGCCACAGTGTAATTAAGTGCTTACGTCCAATAAACGGTAAAGCTAAAAAAGCAGTATGAGGAAGGTGTGGGCTTACTATTTGACGATATCTGCTTGCTAATGACACAGTCGTCCTTCCTGTTCGTTCTACTCTCGGGTCTCCCGTCCTCCCAGGCAGAGGGCGGGTCGCCCCTGGCGTCGTGTGTCTTACCTCTCGGCTAGGTATCGCCATGGCAACAGGGTATCGCCTGGCCGTCCATTAGCTTGGGGGACCGCGGTACCGGCCGAGCGATGTGACAGGTTAGGCTGCCACGCCTCACTATAGGGAACTGGCGGACGGCCCGGCGACGGTGCCGCCCCGCGCGCGTGCCATAATTCAGAGCGCTCGTTAACGGTAGCAAAAGCGAACAGTCGTGATGAGGCGTGAAATTCTGACAATGTGATGATAGATGGGTGTGAAAACACTACACATTGCTGCGCTGAAACGATGCTTGCAAGACAAACTTTCATGCAACAAAGCTTCAATCTGTTCAAAATTGTATTTTACTCGCGGTTTCTGAGTGGTTTATGTAGCATAGCTTGAGGGTTATAACTGAGTGTTAACTATTTGTTTTTTCGTATTATTAGAGCTAGGCACCATTTAACGAGACACATGAGCTTCACATAGAGTGACATGTGAATATTGACTTATTAACACCTTTGAACCCCGAGCTGCCTAACACGAAAGGGCGTCCGTTTTAGGCTATCTCGTTTAGTACGGATTTAGCACTAGCGTGACACCCGCTTGTTTGCCCATTTAAGCTTCAACATTTGGCAGAGAGCGCTTATGAGAGTGGCGACACGACACGATACGGTCTCAATCTTTAGTCAAAGGGCGATGTGGTGGAGCATGTTAACGGCAAAAGTGGCTTTATAAATGTTATGGAATTGTCCGGTGTACTTTTATTGATGCCGAAGGAAATGATGAGCAGAATAAAGTAATTTGCATCATAAACGATTAATCAAATGAGTAAATTTGAATGCCCAAATAAATAAAGATAAACGACATCCATCAATTAATTGTTTGCCGAGGCATGTATGTACCTCATGCCAATCACGATAACATCAGCATACACATATCCATTATGCTTTGCCTCGATTATTTTGCTAATCGTATTGCAAATTATGGGAAAATTGAGCCTACATCAAGGCTCGTCGGTAATGGTCATGTGAAGAATCGTAACCTTACAAGTCATCTGCAACGGACGTCCAGCTAAATTCTACGAGAGACCAGACAGGCTTTAGGAGATTTGAGCGCTTCGAAGAGAAGATCAAAGGGCGTGTAAGCCTCGGCTGACCCGGATCCATTATTGCCCGCAGTCGGAGAGCACGGTGTTCGCGGGTTCAATAACTGGAGGGGAAACCGGGATTCCCTCTATGTTTTATTCGTGTTGTATGATAACTCTGAAACTTCATATGGACATTCTCTTTATTATTGCTATTTGCTACCTCTATGTAATTCACGATACTTCCGAAAAATCCAAAAATAAGATTATCTGAACTACCATTGCAATAGTAGTGCATGGCATTTTGGTAATTTACGAGACTCGCATGAACTCTTTCCTTGGTCTGTCCTTTTACCGCCTCACATCCACACTGTTCTACCTCCCCCCTCTCCCTCTCTCTCTCTCTCTCTCTCTCTCTCTCTCTCTCTCTCTCTCTCTCTCTCTCTCTCCATCCTTCTCCCTCCGCCTCTACTCTGTACCTGACCCGCTCCAGGCACGTGCAATATCCGTCTGAGGCGGTCGCCGGCGGCCCCCAGCAGACAGCTCGCTGTCAGGAGGCCTGCCCCGAGCGACGGAAATGAGACGGCACCGTTCGTTAGCGGGGAACCGGTCGCCAGTGGCCGTCGTCAAAGGCGAGCCGAGCGGCGGTCCGTGCCGTCACCGGCAGAGCGCGGCTCTGGATAGTGAGGCCGGACCGGCGGGTTGGGGCACTAATGAGACCTTCTACCTGGCTGAGCTCTGTTCGCGACTGTTCGCCACCGAATCGCCACGGCGGAGTTCAATTGCATCGGTGAATTTCGCGGCCGGCTGCTGTCGGCTTTGTGTGGGCTAATTCAGCGACTATGCGGGATGAAATAGAGGCTGGTTAGTCTACCGAATGCTGGTGCTAAATGGAATCATATTGTTCTGTCCTGATTGAAGCAAACAAAATCGTTGTGGCTGGTTGGATGTACCTGTGAATGCAATACAGTTCTGAAAAGTTTTATCAAGATTTGTATGGAGAATCATGGGCACTGACAAACACATTTATTTAGTATAAGTCCAATAAGTACGTTATCTTGAAAGTATTACATACCTACTATGGACGTCAAACCCCTTGAGACCCCACTTTTTTGCGATGATTTTTAAATGCGTGAACTCTCGTTGACGATATTCTGGCAATGTGTGTTTCAGAACCTGCCGAAACTTTTATTACTAAGGTATTTTGACGCCAAACGATTATGAAAGGTACTTCTCATTCACTCGTAATGCTAAGGTCAATTCAGGCCCGCGCAGAGGCTTGCGTTCGGCCATACTCGAGCCCCGCCACCAGCGCCATCTGCTCTTAATGTCATCTACCAGCGCCCGCTACCGCTACCAGCTACCGCCCACTATCAAGCCTGGAGGGAGCGCGAGACGCGAGTGACCGGTCACCGGGCAAGAAGCGCCGGAGGGGTAGGGCGGAGCTTAGCGCTGACGTCATTACGTGGCTTCGCCCCATGAGCGCGTAGCCTCTACCCAAACAGCAGATTCGTTCCGTGAAATTCAACATTACGAGTGAATGAGAAGTACCTTTCATAATTGTTTGGCGTCAAAATACCTTAGTAATAAAAGTTTCGGCGGGTTCTGAAACACACATTGCCAGAATATCGTCAACGAGACTTGACGCATTTAGAAATTATCGCAAAAAAGTGGGGTCTCAAGGGGTTTGACGTCCATAGTAACTGTCATGTATTACGCGCACCATCCACAATACTAACATTGCAGACGGCCGTTTGCGTTGTTCTTCTGTATCTATTTCCCGAAAAACTAACGCCATTCAATTTCAGACTATTTATAAAAGACGCGACATGAGTGGGATGATATCAAATGCACTTTGTCATCGAGTCAATGATTACGTCACCGTCGGCTTGGACTAGCTTAGGTGAATCCCCGGCCTATGACGTCACTGACTGTAGAGGAGGAGGGTAGGTCTCCATTCCCGTGGCATTGCGTCCGTCGTGATCCGACAGTGTTCAAACTCAATTTGCTGTTGAGCTTAAGTGGCTTTTATCCATTATGGCCGTGAACGAATGGTAAAACGACCTTATGGAGGAGGAGTTATTGATTAATTAATATTTTCCTTCATGTTCATGGTTCAATCGAGTAGCATGCAAACATCAGGCATAAACATCGTCGGCAGTAACAATTCGCCTCCACTTTTATTTAGATTATATTATTTTCTAACAAGCGCCTATTGGCAGTCATCAGTTAAAACGTTACATCTGAGAAAATCCGATCGTCAAACGTTTTATCCGTTGGAACAAAAACTAACGTTTGAAGAGGGTAGACTGAACGAACAACGCGCTGTCGCGGGCTCCGCGGAGCCGCCGCCGCGCCGGCGCGGTCCTGACTGGTAGGCTGTACCGCATCACATGGCTGTGTTGCGGCACAGTCTGCCTGCCAGGCACACAGCGGCCGGCCGTCCAGCCGCCTACGGAGCGCGGTAATAGGCGTCGGATGGATCTGTGTGATATAGAGAAAGCACAGATATAAGACAGAGAGCTTCGCCACACAGCAACCAATTCAGCATGGGGGCTTCTGAGTCCAAGAGGTGTCCGAACTCAGATTTATCGGGTGTGTCACGCTTCTGGACGCGCTTGTTACAGTTCTCTATTGGATGGCCATTGTGGGGACATTCATAAAATGTTTTGAATAAATGCATCCTGATAAAATGAATTCACCTGGCAAGATGCATTGTAAGCAGAATGGCATTGTGAAACAGTGGGTTGAACATGGGTTAGCTTAGATTCGGAGTTTAGCGGCTTCGAATTCGAAATAAAAAAGAACACCTAATCACCTAAAATGATGTAAATTGTATATCAAATATCAAGCAAACAGCAAATTGCAATGGGACGCATCGGACATGTTTTGTGTGTTCTAAGCCTAGTCGTATTGATATGGCTATTTTCACCCTTTTCGTCACGAAGCTATTGAACTTAAAACATTTGAAATGTACTCGTAAATGCTAAATGCGTATGATATACAGACAATAATTCGCCAAATGACCCAACTGGACAAAATCCGTGCAGAAAGAAATATCGGCTGCTCGTGAGACACAAACCATGCGCGAGTATTTCATGAGCAGTTAACGAACCGCCCGTCCATCTGAAAGCAGCTGCTGTTTGGACGAGGAACTTTGGATGGCCATGCAATAACATGCCGCGCCTCTACTGTTGACCCAAACAGTTTACCTTGGCGGTCTCAGTGCTGACAACCGCGCCGCTTGGCGATGTTGATGAGCCGTTTTCGCGCCCGCTTTGTATGATTTCTATTTCTTGTTGATTCACTTATCTGTTACGTGCTTGTTTTGAGAACCTTGTGTTGCTATACTGGCGTGAATTGACGCCGATGATGCTGTGATGATGCTGTGTGACACACAAATGTGTGTTAGAAAGTTACTATGCACTCAGTCTTCTTTACACTCTCAGTCGCCACAGCAGTACCATTTCATACAGATACAGTCTTATTAACAACTAAATAGCGGTGACGTGTGACATGTGACGACATGTGATTTGTGGCAACAATGTTCAGCATAATGCAACAAACCTGTCATGTTCTAACAAGTCGGACAACAACCATTGTGTCATCGACATTTGTGTTCATCGCCGAAGACGAGTAAGTCTGTCATTGTCACTGAAAGTCATATCCATGATGATGATTGACGTAATATCTCCTTCCCAGGTTACTTATGCGTTTTGCAAGGATTTCATCAAAACCCTCTTGAGCTTGTGTAAGGGAGAAGAATCCGTATCGCTGACAGGCATTCTGTCAAAGCTGTTTTTAAAAGTAAGTATTCCATTTGGAAACACGTTCAGCTTGTAAACATAATTGATTTAGTTTGCCAATAATATAAGCCTTATGTCATAGAAGCGGGTAATGCTGAATAAAATAGGTGTCAGGTCGATCAATAGCACAGTAAATAATAATGCACTGAGCCAAACAATCAACCTATCTGAAGAGCTATGCAGCCAAACTCTTTGAATGTCAACAGTTCTGTGGAAGAGTCAACAAGTCTAATGTTCATGTTTGCCTTAGCATTATGGTGATTGGTATTTTGTATGAAACTGTGTTTGCCTTACAACGTACTTTCCTCATCTTGCAGAATAATAAATCATCTTGTTTGAGTCAGTCATATCATCGTTACGCCCTGAACTACATCAATGCACTCAACTACTTGGAAACTCTGAGACGCCACAACGACTTCTGTGAATTCGAAAAGGTATGTGTCCTCTTCAGCTACACACTATCCAATTTACCATACAAGACCTTTCACTTGATTGGACACTTCACCGTAAGAGCAGTGAATACGCTATTGCAAAGCATTCATTAAGCTTCTATATTTGAATCTTGGCGAAAGAACTATCGTTGGTTGCAGGTTCTCAACAGGTGCATAAGATACAAGTCACAGGTAGGTATGTCAGTAACGCACAATTTACGAGAAAACATGTTGTTATACTGGGGTTACTGCATAGGGAACAAAGGAATTAGCTATTTTGTTATTACAAGTGTTGGAGGCCAGCGCAAGAAAGAGAGAGAGAGAGAGAGAGAGAGAGAGAGAGAGAGAGAGAGAGAGAGAGAGAGAGAGAGAGAGAGAGAGAGAGAGAGAGAGAGAGAGAGAGAGAGAGAGGAGGGATGGGGGGAGGGAGGGACGGACGGACGGACGGACGGAGATGACGGCATGTCCCTGCGGTGAGGTGCCGTCATTTGATGGTATTAGATGGGGTGTCATAATATCAGTAAAGCCTCCACTAAGTCTTCATTCTGGCAATGTTGACACAAAGAAAACAATGTCATTGTCACAATGAAACTGACTGCCACGTGGCCACGAGAAGAAGCGTTCTGTTAAAGCGAGGGCACGGGGGCTAATATTTCCCATCGGCGATATGATCATTGATCAGCTAGATATAAATATCATTCTGACGATATATGATAGGCATGTGTGTCAAGTATCACCTTATTTTTCGTGTTATGATCACTTCTAACCTGACCTGGCCTGACCTGACCTGCCCTTTCCTCGCGCCTCCTTAGTGGTGTAACCGCGACCCGCGCTGCAAGAAGCTGCAGCTGACGGACCTGCTGGTGGCGCCGGTGCAGCACAGTATGAAGGTGCCGCTGATGCTGCGTGACATCCAGAACAAGACCGAGAGCCAGGAGGAGCGGCAGCTCATCAGCACCATCATCGAGAACGAGGAGGCCTCGCTGCGTGAGTGACACGACGGGACGGGGCGGGGCGGATGGGACGGGACGGAAGGGTCACTGGTAGATTGAGGATTTGTCTGGGATGGGGTGACTTTAGGCGTGGTAACTAGATTGTGGTAAGGGTGTGGTTGGTGGAGATAGATTTGGAGCCAAAATTCGGGAGCGCTGCAAGAGGGGTTCAAAAGCATGTTTTTATTTGTCGCCACTTAAGCCGAATATTTGCTCAGATGCTTTGATGGCGGGACAAACAGGTGGACTGACGGGGTTCTCGAGACCTATAAAATATTTATTGCCAGTATCATCGCAATTCGCATCGCAGCATGAGTATTATGCATAAATCCACCCCACCCTGGACATAAGCATTTGGCTTGAAATAGCAGTTATCACTTTCTACCAGCGGTGGCTCGTTACTTAATTGGGAAAGCCCGTCCATTAAACAGAAGCTGTTTAAAGAACGGCCATGCAGACGTCATCTGAGACTGAACTGATAATCCATACTTTATCGTTGCACTGGCGTAGTTATATCGATCTGCGTCTATAAAATCGGCATCACCTTGGTAGCGTAATTCAATCGCTATTCGCTATGACCCTAAACCACCCGACCATTGACGTCACAACTGAGTACATACTACTCTAGCGTTTACCCCAAACGAGCCAGTGGATCGCATCCATCGTGCGCGCTCCCCGCCAGTCATCCATTAGCGTCAGAGACCGGAACCGCGGGGTCCCGCAGTGTGAGCGATGCCGCGCGGTAAGACCGGACCGCCGCAGCGGCTCAGCCCGGCACGACGCGCCCATACTAATCTGTTGTTTGTCCTGCCAGTCGTGCTCGGTATAAACAGTCTTCGTCTGTCGATGTATGTTTTTTCTTCGCTGCTAGAGCCTTGCTGGGTGGTCGAATAACTGAAGTAGGAATGTCCAACGGAGATGATTGAATCTTCGAAAAGAGCATTCCGATAAATAGGATGAGCGCCTATTTGCACCTGTAGGTGTACGGAGAAAAAGAATGAGCCCGTCAATGACCCTTCGATGCTTATTCATAGGCTTTTCGTTCATGTGTCCTGAATGATTATCATATACTTAGGAAACTAAATAATCGTTTCATTTGCTGTAATACACAACATTAACCCGCGCCCGGCTGGGGGTCCTGGATTTCCACGCCCTGCTGGGGGGGGGGGAGGTTTGAACACCCCCCCCCTTGTAACTTGGCTCCTGGGCCACGTAGCGATACGCGGAAGGCGGCGTTCGAAAGAGCGTCAAAAATAATGACGAAATCACTTCGGTCAATTTTTTGGTCAGGTCAAAGGTCAGGTCACCAGAGGTCATTGAAGGCAAAATTTCGCCGATTTCCAGGTCGAATGTCGAAAATTTCCAAGAAGCCAACGCATAACTCGAGAACCAATAGAGCTACAGCGCCGCGGAAAAGCGCATTCGATAGCCCTATTAAAGCCCTTTCTGGGTAATTCCCTCAAATTTGACCTAACGTCAACGGTTTTGCCTGCAGGGGGCAAAAATTGCAAAAATAGCCGATTTTTTCGGAAACAGTTTTTCTGCAATAACTTTTGACCCAAGACTTGTATGAGCTTACTTTTACCGGCGTTGTGTTCCTCTCATCAAGACGCATCGAATGAACTATAAGTTGACCTTGAAAGGTCAACTTGAAAATTTGACCTCAGGTCAGGTCATGACCTGACCGGAAAGGGTCATGTTGCATATCAGTCGATCCGTATCGTCGAGATGAACACATCTAAGGCGTTTCATCACTCTAGCATGCCTCTATCAAAAGTTATTTGCGAAAAACTGTTAGATACCATTCGTGACCTAAGATGACCTCAGGGCATAAACAAGGGTCACGGACACCATTTTCATGTTCAGTGTGTCTAAACCACTTGTAATTCGGTGTTTGGGAGTGTTTATAATGTCTTTTGTCCAAAAGAGGCGCATTTCAATTTTTTTCCCATTGACTCATAATGGGGAGGTCGCAAAATTGACCTGACCTTAGGTCATCGAGATCAAAATTCTGAGATATACATTTTGTACATGCTATTGCTCTTAGCGATCGCTGAAAGTTTCAAAGCGATCGGTCGCTCGGTGTAGCTATGACAGACATTGAAACTTTTTATGAGGTGAGGTCACTTCAAGTGACCTGGTGACCTGACCTTGAATGACCTTGGTCTGAAATTTTCACAACATGTGTAGATTTGATGTGCAATAAGGTGTACCAAAAACGGCTTCGCGAAAAACCACAAGGGGGGGGGGGTGTTCAAACACCCCCCCCCCCCCCCCCCCAGCAGGGCGCGGGTTAAAGAAGCTTGCCTGGTCTCAAGGCTGCTAAAATATTCATTGCCAATATTATCGCCGCATGAGTAAGATATTTATTTTCGCCCCGTGCCTGGTGCCGCAATATTTCGCTTGCATTAATTATAATACCAATTCTCTATTACATTTGTTTCCATTCCTCCCAGGCGAGCTGGACGACAAGATGAAGTGGTTGAAGAACTTCGAGCGCCTGCTGGAGATCCAGCGGAACCTGGTGTGGCCGTCGGTGATGGAGATGGACCCCAAGGCCTACATCCCCGAGTTCCTGCGCCCAGCGCTGGCCAGACAGCCCTGTGAACGTCTGATCGTCAGTCCGCGCAGACAGATCATCATGGAGGGGCCGCTGCAGCTGGCAGACGCCGGCAAACCCATCGATATGCACGTCATCCTGTTTGACGACATGCTGCTCATCACGCGCAGGAAGAAAGGCCTCAGTAAAAAGGTGAGTGAGGGGAGGACAAGAGATTATAATCTAGGGCCATGATTTATTCATTTGTGCGCTTTACCAATTCGTTTTTGAATATTGTTAGTTATTTCGTGTATGTTCTTTATTTGTGTCTTGAATCGGGTTGGCTTATATGCACTCTACCGTTCAATTTCATTATCTAGTTTCGTACTGGCGCCGCTGGTTTGAGAGGGATTGACGGAAACTACATCAAAGCAGCCACAAAGTCAATATTAATTCCACACAGAGTGATGTAAGAGAGAATCGTGTCGTAGATAAATTGACGACACGAGCCAACATCCCAAGACAAACAGTAGCGAATCCATTGCCCCAAGCTAACGGTTTGTCAATGGCGTGGTTCAGCTTCATCAAACATTCGCTCGCTGCCAGCTGCCTAAATTAGCCCAATTTTGAACAAAATAGCTCGATACTTTTGACGGTACTCTTGCGTCTGGTTTTCTTATTACCGATGAATAACTGGTTCTGTAATAAAATATTAAAGTGACCTAAAATAATGTTAGAAACCTTATTAGCCGAAGTCAGTAGGTAGTCAAGTTAACCATCCGGATTATGTTGGAGGTGAGCTATGGCTAGTTTGAGCATAATTATGATTATTATGATGGTAAAAAATGACCTTATGCTCATGATACAATGAAATGATATTAAAATAATAATATTTTTTGGACTTATTTTAATATCATTTCATTGTATCATGAGCATAAGGTCATTTTTTACCATCATAATATCCGGATTATGCATTCAACATGACATTTTGAATCGATTGCACATTGCGGCATCTTTTGTTATGCTAAAGTCTGTGCTTTGATTTTCACTATTTTGCTTTTAAAACTTTTCTCAAGGTATGCAATGACATCAGTGTTTTTGTTTTTTTATGAAAAAAACTGAAGCAAAGCTTAGCAATAACACTTCGCTAGGCATAAATTCAAGTGGTGATATTTTTCGCCGCACAGGCACTATCTCTGATAACGCGCGTCACTCCTGCCAATAACAGTGCACCGCTGGAGCCACTCGTGCTGTTTGACCGTTGCATTACTGGGCATCGCTGGGCTGGACGAACGTCAACCAATCACACAGCAGAGTGCTACGTGTCATTAGAATAGCCGACTGTCCGTATGCGTGCGTCAACAGTAATGGTCAGGCCCCATCGGGTCTAAAATCAATCAAATAAAGCTTCAAATCAACGGCCGGAGCACAATATGTGAGAATAGTGCTGCTTGCTTTGCTGGGCAAGATAGAATTATAGTCAAGCATAGTGTATCCCTTTGCTTGCTAGCCTTTCCGATAACTAAGCATCTTCATTCGCATGTAGGTATATGGAGGATAGCTTTCGATGATTAGCTTCAGGTATCTCAGATGTCACTGGACACTTAGGACAATGATCTCGATGCTTTAACTGCGACAAGCTGCCATACGAGTTTCAATTATTACGGAGCGAGCGAAGCGAGCGTAGTCTTTCCTTAGATTAACGGAAATTTCTGAGTATGAGCGGCCGGCCGGCCGGCCGGCCGGCCGGCCGTGGTCACGCTTTTGCGAGGCTTATATCTCAGCAACCACTTGACCGATTTACACGCGGTAATTTTTGTAGGGTAGCTTCATTCCTTCTACCAAGTATTGGACTATTCCCGATGCATGTGGGTGACCCCTTATGCACGTGCCACGTGCAAAACGAAGAGGTGTCACTTTTGTAATTGTTGCAATATCTCCGTAACTACTTGGCCGATTGCGCTGAAAGTTGGCATGTAGGTAGGCACCTACTAGGCAATGCATATCCATGTGCCAGAGTTGGGGTGCTGCTGCACGTGCGCACGTGCAGGGGTCGATTCCAGATCTCGAGAACGGCTGGACCGATGGCGCTCAAATTTGGTACATGGTTAGGGACCGGTTAGTAGGGTGCCGTGCAAAAGTAAGTTGGGACCCATTTTGCACGTGCGCACGTGCAGGGTGCCGCTTCCAGATCTTGAGAACGGCTGGGCCGATTGTGCTCAAATTCGGCACATCGTCAGAGACCGGTTAGTAGGGTGCCGTGCACAAGTCAACTGGGGGTACCCCCTCGAAATTTCGCACGTGCAAGGCTCACCCTCTCGCTCGCTCCGTTAGTCGCCCCAAAAGGCGTTATACTGGTAATAAAAATGTGTATAATTTATATTGATTACATGAGCTGTATGTTTGATTTATCGGAGCAAAGCCATCAAGATGCATTATGAAACATTATTGTCACTTGCACGGGCCGATCACTAGGCGATTACCGTCATTTAGGAGGGCGGCTCAAACTCTGTATTGCCCTCAAAATTAAAGCTGTCGGGCCAATAATGGTCATTATCCGCCCGACAGGTCATTAGCGCCCGACAGCTCAAATATGTTCAAATATATATTCTCATACGAATACCACAAATTATTTTAATGAAAATTGCGGTTATTGCAACTGAAAGAAGTAGGCGGTTCTGTACAAACAGTTGTTGATTTATATTTTATTTACAATACTTGTCATAGACCGATGCACGACCGATTGCACATTTGATGCGTTTTAGCTATTGTAGCGGTCAACTGAGTGTATTCCAACACAAGCGCCTCTAGTGGCGACCGGGCGAGGTAGTCACATGACGTAAGCGCACTACGCGCTACACCTCCCCACCAAGTTCAACACACACCTCCCCCCCACAAAAAAAAAACAAGCTTCTAATGACACTTGAGGCACGAGCACGGAGACACAGACACTATGCCTACTGCGTCTTCAGCGGCGGCCTGCCTCTCGTACGAATGACACCGCGTCCAGCGACATGCGGCACGTGACAGGTTTTCAGGTTATTTACATGCACAACGACCGATTTCCCATCAGAGTCTCGGATGCGATAGTTTACATCAGACGTTCTGTGGGTGACAGTAAACGGGCCAGACCAGATCGGCTGCAGTTTCGGCGAGACACCCACCTTGCGAATAGGCCGTTTCCAAAATACATCATCGCCCACTTTGAGCTCACGAACTTTGACATGTTTCGCCGAATTGTACCCGTCTGCTCGTTTCGCCGCTGCTCGCTTCGACACATCACGAGCCGTAGCCCTCACATCAGACAGCCGAGCCATGAGACCCGAGCTCGTCACCTCGCGCATACTCGAGTGGAGCGTGTCAATCGGCAACTGCGCGCGTCTACAAAACAGCAACTCGAACGGCGTTGACTGAGTTGTCTCACACACGGCGGTCCGGTAAGCAAAGGCCAACGACTGTAAGTTCTGATCCCAGCTCGCCTTGTGTTCTCCCACATACGACCGTATCATATTGAGCAGTGTTCTGTTACAACGCTCGACCATGTCAGACTGTGGGTGATACGGAGAAGTCGTCCTATGCTTAATGCCTAGTTTTTCACAAAACTGTTTAAACGAAGCACTCATCCATTGCGTCCCCTGGTCAGTTACTATCTCAGACGGAAACCCATGACGACAGAAAACATGATCAAACAGCCAGCTCTGAATGACCTCCGTCTCAGTCGACGGTAGGGCTGTCATCTCGGGCCACTTCGAAAAATAGTCCTGACAAACCACGATAAATCTAGCACCGCTCTCTGTCACCGGTAAGATCGGGCCAACAATGTCTACAGAGACTTTTTCCCACACGTTCAGGGCAGACGTGTCTACCGGTGTCAATGGCGCCGTCGGAACAGGGTTATCTTTCACAGTGCAGCACACGATACATCCTTTTACATGTTGTTTTATATCCCTGGTCATTCCCGGCCAAAAATAACGCTCCTGTACACGCCGAACGGTCTTCTTGGATCCGGCGTGACCCGCCAATGGGTCATCATGAAGCAACTTGATGATGCCGTCGCGTTGGGACCGCGGTACCACCAGCTGTTCTCCGAAGACCGGATGCACATGGCAGAGCGCACCACGCCCGTTCACTCGGAACTCGTCCGGCTTCCTGTCCTGCAGCTGGCGCACGCCGTCATCAGTCGCCAGCTCAGAGCGCCAGTCAGCGACACTAGCGACACACTGCGGCTGCTCCGGGAACGACCGGCTGAGCACGTCCGGGACGACATGTTCAGATCCTGCGACGTGATGAATGCTGATGTCGAACTCCTCCAGTAGTAGCGCCCAGCGACCCAGCCGACCAGTCAGATCCTTCTTGGAGCGCAACCACTGAAGAGGCTTGTGATCCGTGAACAGACATACCGGCCGTCCCACCAGCAGGTGACGCCATCTCTTCAAAGCGTGTACAATCGCGCATGCTTCTTTTTCTATTACGGAGTAGTGTCGCTGTGACTTGTTGAATGCTCTGCTGCTGAACTCCACAGGCTGGCCGTCTGCCTCTAGTACGCAGCCGAAGCCATTCTCGCTGGCGTCGGTCCGCATTGATAGCTGTGACGATTCCGTAGGAATCTTCAGAGCCGGACGTTCAGCCAGCAGGGCCTTCAGCCGACAAAACGCTGTCTCGTGCGCGCCATCCCAGAGGAATGACTTCCCCTTCTGCAAAAGATCGTGCAACGGCCTCGCAATCAAGCTGAATTCCGCGATGTGCGACCTATAGAAGCCGCACAGGCCCAGGAACTTCCTGAGAGCTGTCTGATCGCCAGGCCGCGGTATCGCCTCAACAGCTCTGATGTGCTCCTTCGTCGGTCGAATCATACCACCCTCGATGCTGAAGCCAAGGAACGACTCCAGGGATGTCAGCAGAAACCGGCACTTCTCGCCGTTCAGCGTCAGTCCAGCTTCTCGTAGTCTCTGCAAGACAGAGCGCAGATCCTCCAAATGTGACGACTCGTCCCGGCTGTGGATGCACCAGTCATCGAAATACGCTGCCACACATGGCAGATCTTGTGTCAGCCTCTGCACCAGACGGTTGAACGTACTGGGACCGTTGCAGAGACCGAACGGCATTGTACGAAATTGCAGTAGCTGGCCATTAAACTGGAAGGCCGTCTTCTTTCTGTCCTGTTCCCTGAGAGGGATCTGATAGTATCCCGAGCGAGCATCGAGCACTGAGAA